TTATTATTATTATTATTATTATTAAATGTTGTTTATATTGTCTTTAAAAAAAAAAAATCGTCTTTAAAAAATTTGATAAATTGGTATAATAAAAACTAAGAAACAAAAACTTTTCCTATATAAATAAATAAATAAATAGTTATTTTGAAAAATTATTATTATTATTAGTATTATTATTATTATTATTATTATTATTATTATTATTATTATTATTACCTTTCATTCGGGTTATTAAGACAAAACAAAAAGAAATATGGCGGAGGATAAATTGATAAATGGGAAGAATAAGAAAAAAAAAAAAGGAAATGATATTTGTTATTAAAACTAGTAGTATTTTAATTTATATATTATTTGAATTTTAACATTCGATAAATTTTTTTCCCCGTTTGTTCGTTTGTTCGTTCGTTTGTTTGTTTGTTTTTCAAAGAGAGTTAAAATTTTCTAGAAGGAAAAAGAAATTAATTGTTTTGAATAGTGGGAAAATTTCTTTTTTTTTTTTTAAACTTTTTATTAATTAAAAATTTTTTTTTTTCCTCTTTCAATTCATTCCTTTTGTAAAAATGTATAAAAGGTTTTTATTTTGAAAGGTTTTAATGGTGATGCCATAATTTTTAAGGAAAAAAAGGTATAATAATAAAAATAAATGAAATCAGGTCGGGAAAAATTTCCCAAAAGGCCTTTTTTAAAGGGAAAACTTTTCTTTTTTTTTTTTTTAAATTCGTTTCACTTTCATTTTTATTTTCACTTTCGTTTTTTCATTTGTTTTCGAAAATTTTTTAAACGTTTAATTTCTTTTCTCTCTCTCTCTCTCTTTCTCTCTCACACATTTTTTTAATTTAAATAAATTTTTATTGTTTTCTTTTTTTTTAAATTTGTAAAAGGGAAAAAAAGGGAAAAGAAAAAAAATTTATCGTGGTTTTAGAAACATTCGTTTAAATTTTTTTTTTTTTTAAGGGGAAAAAAAAGAAACGGTTGCATTTTTTTTTAAAAATTTAATTACAATTAATACGAAACGTTTCTCTCTCTCTTTTTTTCCCCCCTCCTCTTCCTTCCCCCGCCCCCAGCCCCTCCCACCATTTTTTTTGCTTTCTTTTCCTTTGGAATTTAACGACAAAGAATTCAAATAAGTAAAATTAATTTTCCAGGTCAAAAACTTTTTCAATTTTTAATTTCAAAATGGCAATTAAAAAAAAATAACAAAGAAAACAATGTATAATAATAATGATAATAATAATAATAATAATGATAAAAAGTAATTAATAAAAAAATTTAAAAAACAAAAACAAAAAAAAAAAAACCACTAATCCTTTTGTTATTTGATACGCAGCAAAAAAAAAAAATTAATAAATAAATAATTTTTTTTTTTTTTGCTGTCGTTCGGATAATTTTTCACTTAAAAAAAGTTTTTCCTCTCTCTCTTTCTCTCTCTCTCTCTCTCTTAGCAATTTTTTAAATAACAATCAAATTAATTTATAATTAAATTATTATTATTATTGTTCGTAAATTAAAAATAAACCTCTTACATTATTATTACGTAAATTATTATTATTATTACTATTATTATTACGTATTATTATTATTATTATTAGTGATTTAAAAGTTTGTTCGTTTGGAAAAATTTAAGGTGTGATTTTTCAATTTGTAATAGAGTTTTAGTTACACATCATAAATATTGAATAATTTCCGATGCGAGAGTCGTAATTGTAACAAAAACAACAACAACAACAACAACAATGATGACGACGACGATAACAAAGAACAAATTTATTTGTCGGGGCCTTTTTTTAAAAAAAAAAGGAAATTTGATTAACGGTCGCTGCTCATGTTTGGGATTTTTATGAAATTTTCATACTCTCGTTAATCGTGACGTCACACAATCACTTTAAAAATTTTAATTTTTAAACATTTTTTTTCTTTCTTATTTTTATAAATTTTAAATTAGAGAGAGAGAGAGAGAGAGAGAGAGTAAAAAAAAAAACGTTCACGTCATTTGAAGAGAGAGAGAGAGAAAAAAAAAGGGAAAAAGGGGAAATTTAGTAAAAAACGTTTTAATTCGATTACGTTTTTTTTTCTATATTTTTAAATTCGCAAAACTTGCTAAAAAAAAAAAAATGGAGGTTTTTTTTATAGCAAAAATGCAATTTTTTTTTTTTTTTTTTTACTAGAAAAATTTAAAAACGTCAATTTTTTTAACGAATTTTTTTTTTAGAATTTTCGATCATCATTAAACGAGTTTTGAAACGAATTTAAAAATAAAAAAAAGAAATTGTGTTTCTACTGGCACGTGATTTTTTTCTAAAGCCACGACAGCTTTTTTTTTTTTTAATATGGATTTTAACATTATCATGAATTGATAATAATTTTTGAGTTTTTTTTTTTTGAACCTTTTTGATTTAATTTTTTAGAAAAACCGTTAAAAAAACATTTTCTCTCGTTTTATTTTTAACCGTTATTTTCATTAAAGTGGTCGAAAATTTTTCGGGGCCCTTTTCCCTTCCTCCCACATAAAAAAAATTTTGTTGAATTACGATGATGAATAAAAAAGTTTTATGTAAAAATTATTGGCATTTAATTAACACAAAAAGTTTTCAAGTTTTTTTTTTAAATTAAAAATCTTCGACATTTTTCTTTTTTTCTTTTGTTCTTTTGGAGAATTAAAACTTCATTAACAGTATATAAATATTTGATGCATTCGTGAAAGTGAACGTGAACGCAAAATTTCGTCCTCCAGCAATTTTCCAGCAATTTATTTTTTGTCCTCCATAAACAATCAATTAAACAATTTCCAAAAAAAAAAAATTTTCAATTTATGTATGCGTTTCACATATACGTACATAAATTAATAATTTATTATTATTCTCAATTTAATAATATTTATTTTTCATGTGAAAATATTGATTTTTTTTTATTATCTGGAAAATATTTTGGAAAATTATCACGTGGAAATTTTTTAAACAATAATAATAATAACGTAAATTAAAAAAAAAATATCACCGTCGTTTTTTTTTTTTAATATGACTTCACCAAATTTCAATACTTAAAAAAAAAAAATTATACATATATATTTAATATCAATTTAATCTGGGAAAGTCTGGAGAGAATATAATAATAATAATAATAATAATAATTATCATTATTATTATTATTTTTTTTTTCGTTTAAAAAAGGAAAAAAAATTAAATCAAATTAGAATTGACGGATGACGGATTTATTTTATTATTCTAATTATTTACAAATTTTATTAAACGTGATACTAATAATAATAATAACCATAATAATAATAATATTAATAATAATAATAATAATAATTTTATTTATAAATTTTATTTTTTTTTAAACGATAAATTTTTTGTTAAATTTAATTTTATGAGAATGAGAGGGAGAAAGAGAGAGAAAGGGGGGTGCATACGTGTGTGTGTGTGAGAGAAAAGAGAGAGAGAGAGAGACAGAGGGGAAAAAATTAATTTTATTACATTTGATAAATACAATATAAAAAAAAAAAATAATAATAATAATTTTCACTTCTGAAAATTTAAATTTTTATTTTTTTTTTTTTAATTACACCAACCGAGTTTTATTTATTATTTTTATTTATTTATTTTTCACGTTATTATTAAATTTTCAGAAATATTTATGATTAA